CTGTCAGCTCCATGCAGCAGAAGCATGTGGTTAGACTGTTAATTGCCTAAGACTCTCCCACATTCTCCACTGAGCTCAAGGGATCACTGAGTTCCATTTGCTGCTGGGTCTAAATCAGTCTTTTACTTCAAAAATTCACAGATACTACTTTATAAGGTTTTTGGAAAGGCAAACCAGGAGTATGAAGGAAGCTTTCTTCCAGGAGCCTTCAAGGGATGGCATCTGGAATACAGGGTGGGGAAATGTCCCCTCTGCTATACAGCATGTACTAGCAGTATACTTCTAAGACTTATGGGGAGGGTGTGAAATTCAGTGCCTTTTTTAAGTGATTGGAGTGATGTTTAAGTGATTTAAGCGATGTTTGAACTATGTTTATAGTAATAGTGTGGCCTTCTCTACTGTGCATGCATTTTCTCAGCCTGACACTAAGGCTGTGACTAAGTGAGTGTTTCAGCTTCGATGAGGGTTTGTAATAGACTCTTAGGTTTGTAACAAATGAGATTAACCCAATTCATGTTCCATCCGTGTAGTTGGGAGTTGAAAACCACTAAAACAGCAATTAGTGAATGTATTCCTATGGAAAACAGCACTTTCTGACTCAGAGAAAGCTCAGGACAGGTCTGTTGTAGACACTCAGATTTCTGGGAGTGGTTAGATTAAATGAGGAGTTAATTTGCTGCAAGGAGAGAGCTTGTTCATCCTTCCATTGACATTATGTTACACATTTACATTTAAGATGGCTCATACTGATGAAGGGCAGGGCACTGCAGGGAAAATTTTTCACCTGAATTGTATTCAAATAACTCTGTGATGTGTTACATTGCAGAAGAATAAACCGAGACCTGCCAAAATACAAAGAAAGGTTTTCATCCTCTAAAATCAGTCTAAAGTGGGGCTTTTGTTCAGCTTCTCTTTGCATCATTTCTTTCTCAAGAGCCCATCACATTAATAGTTATCTATTCCACTAGAGAATAATCCTCCACTATAGTGTTTTAGAAAGTATTATCCTTAGCCTGCCCTGAGGCAGTGATATCCATTATTCTGCTATAAAGAGAAACCTTTATTATCTCCCTTTTCATTCCCTGGAAGAGGTTTTGAGAGTCAGTTCAAAGTGTGTCAAAAAACTGAGGTACATGGACTTTGGAAACAGATTGAAACCATGTGGTTGTCCTCTTGAGAAAGCAGGGTGGTATGCTAGAGGTACATGCATAGTTTCATGTAATTACAAAAAGTATTATTCTAAAGGTCATTGGCTTGCAGGGCCATGTATGTACATTGTGTAAATCAGCACAAGCAGAACAGGATTTCTACGCCAAGGAAACGTAGAAGGAGGAGCATCTCATTTGTCTGTCCCTTACTGCTGTGAGATTGTTTCCTGTGTATCTGGAGGATTTTCACCAAATCTAGTATCTTATGCATATTCAGTGTACTGGAATATCTTGCTTATGGTTACAAATACAGTCTTCAGGTATCATCAGTACCAAAAAAAAACACCTTCTTCTCAGAAGATACATTTAAAGCCAAGATTTCAGAACAGACAATTTGAATTGTACCATGCTCTGTCATTCTTTCCTCATGCACATTTAATGGATAAAATTTATCCCATGCCTTTTGGGCTGTCAGTGTGCTTCTAAAGACCTTCATAAATCCTTCTTACTGGTTTATTTTAATTAGAAGCAAGTAGATTAAACCTTGCTATGTGCTCAATTGGAAAACATCATTTGACAGAACAAAGTATTCTGAAAGACTACTATCTACCCATCTCTATGCAAGCACATACCAGTCTGTGTGTTCTCTTTTGAACTTCTTAATAATGTACTTCTTCACCTTCTCTTTTTTTCCTCCCCTCAGGGCTCACACTTGTTTTAATCGTCTGGACCTTCCCCCTTATCCATCATTCTCTATGTTATATGAAAAACTGTTGACAGCAGTTGAAGAGACAAGTACTTTCGGACTTGAGTGACACACAAACCACAGTGCCCAGCTCATTGGACTTTTGTGGATCTGTCTTCTCAATGAATGAATGAACGTTTGTCTTGGATTTCCTAGAAGAAAATTGTTTCACAGTGCAATTCAAATAATGAGGTTCCATGAAAGAGCAATTAAAAAGCATTGTGGTAGTGGCAGAATTCTCTACAGTGAAATTAAAGTGTGACTGATGTGCAGGGAAGACCAAGTCTTGCAATCCATGGTTTTTCAGGATAGCCAAGCTTCTTAAGTTTATGTTCTGAGCAAACGAGAAACATAATCCCATGTTGCGATCAACCTGGCTACTGCAAAACTGACATGTACCCAAAAACTGGATTTCATCAAAGTTGTTGAATATAAAATTCAAGTCAAAATGTGAAATCATTCAGCCCCTTACCTACACAGTAAATTATCAAAAAAATCCTTTTTATTTTCTTCCTTTTTAATCCCTGAAGGTACATTACTTTATGCCATATGTTATAGTAGCATATCCAGTTCTTGTTTTACCGAAGACTATGAGTGTCTGCACGGTGTGCACCATAGAGCTCACCTACTTGGGGCAGAAGTGAATTGGAAGGAAAGTCAGCAACAAAGGATGTAACAATAATGGCTTGCATTAAGGAGGTTTGTGGAAATGCGTTTGCCAGTGGTGTCTATGACAAAAGCTGAGCTGTTACAATGAACTTAATAACCATAAGACTGATTTTATGCTTTATACTGCATGGAAACTATTTTAAGAAGAAACTAGCAATTTATCACAGCATATCAGGAAAACAAAATCCTAACACAGTGACTTCTGTTTATTTTTATAGGTTCCTTATATTATGTTTCTTAGAGTGTAAACAGGAAACAAGCAAACTAAAACACAGTTTCTGTTTTGGTCACTTTCCATGCTTGAACAGGCATTCCGCTAGTGTTTATTCTTTAAGCACTCTCAAGGGGAAAAAATGCCTTTTATTTTTATAAGACTTAAAAAACTCCCAAAAATATTTTGCACTGAATGAACCAAAGTCGAAGGGACATTATGATCTGACTGATAGCAAACTGCATCACTACCAAGTATCTGTAAAACCACTTAGGAACCAGGCTTTCTTCACGGTGCCATGTCTATAGATATCAGGACTGTGCACATAAGTAATAATTTTATAATACTATATTGATATTGTAATATGCATTTATTTTAAATGCATCTGGGTCATTTTTCATGCATTGGATAACTTAATGCAGTGGAGTTTAATACAGATCTTTCATATGCTCCCCACTTTTTATTTGTACAGCACCATAAAACACGAGCTCATTTGGAAACCCATGAGTAACCTACTTTAAGGTGAGCCGCTGGTCATAATGCCACTGTCCCATATTAGTGAACACCTACAAGATGTAAACTGTTCATAGTGTCTAAGCTTGCATTTTCACTGGTAAATAGTTTTCTTATCAGACGTTATTTGAAAGAGTTTTTATGGCATATCAAACACTGCATGGACACCAGTTTCTTTATTCTTAATTTTGCTGAAATACATGAGCTTGCTTGCATCTGTTTTTGGTACTTTCCTCCAGATGGTCTTGTGGAACACTTGTGCAGCTGCACGCTGTTTCTTGTACAGCTGCTGTCATGCAGTGCATCCACCACCATTTAAAATCCCAGGAAGCTCCACTTGGATACTGGACGACAAGAACATGCATCTAGCTTTGCGCTAGCCCTCTTTTGATAGCACTGAAGCACAGCAAGCCTTGTTCTGTGGGGAAAGTAGCGTTTGAAGTAATGTTCTCACTTTGGAGACTCTTGAAAGGGCATCTCAGGGAGGTATCCTGCTTGTTCTTGCGGGAGTTGTTTTCCAGTGGAGGCGAGTGTCTATGGAGATGTCGTCAGCAAAGACTGCCGCTGCATGCTCCAAGTCAGAAGGCAAGTGCAGCTGTGGTGGTGACTGAGAAAACCCTTCAGGCTTACTGTGAAGATGTTACCTGTGAGAAGGAAAACCCATTTGCAAAATCAGAGTGGAAGCATTCTCTTTTCTTTGGGAATAACTGAGCTTCTGCATGACATCTGGAACTCGCTTCAGTAACAGGTTTTCTTATGCTACTTTCGGCTTGTATTGAAGTGTCAAAGCAAAATCCAGACATGTCACCTTATTTTTACACATGTATTTATCAGTCTTTGCTAAGATTGCATGTCATAGATCCTAATGCACATCTTTTTTCAGAACACCAATGAGCAGTAGGCAAACTGACTTTTCATCAGGTCACTCCAGCATGGCTCATGTTTCATATGATCCATTCACTGAGTAACTAAAACTCGGGCACTCGAAGCAGAATGCAGCTTTGGATTGGTTGAAAGACTGCAGAATTCTGATTTTACAATACTGTGTTATCTGTGGTCTAAAAAGGAGATTTCCCAGGTGGAAACTGTATCTACAAGTTTTGAATCAGAAACTCTTTGGAATGAAAAGTTTAAATATTTGGCACAAAGTAAGTTTATACTAGTCTGCCTTTTAAGTTATGCTTTTGTACAAAACTAAAACAATAAATGCATCTTGACAATTTTTATTTAAATATATCTACTGCACACATTTGTTTCTGTATTTATGCATGTAACAATAATGGAAATCACCCATGATGATTTGGATTTCTGTAAAAATGTGACAGGGTCACCAGTGGGGCAGGTGTCAGTTAAAAAAGAAAAAAAATATATATATCTATAAAGAGAAATAAGATCCAGAGCCCTTGTAGCATTAAGACCAAGAGAGACTGGGTAGAAACTGCTGCTTCCTCCTTTGCTGCCAACATCACCTGGGGGACTCCAGCAAAAGGCAATTCGGAAGTGTTGAGTTAGCTGCCCAGATATGGCTGCCTGGGGTGCCTCAAGCACTTGGTTAGCTCTTTGTGATGATACAAGCCATGCTGCTGCTCTGAAGAGATTAGCAGAAAGGGAGTATAGGAAAGGAAGCCTGATCCTACTCAAACACCCATGTCTCCTGGCTACTGCTTAGAATATTCTTTCAGTGTGGGAAGCCATTCCCATTAAATGTGTCCCAACTTAACCTGCAGCATCTCCATCAGAGAGAGTCTGGCCGGGGGTATCCCCATGTGGTACCCATTTTTCCTGCTCTGCTGGGGAGTGGAGCCATGCACTGCTAGCCAAAAAGCAGCTGGCAGGTCCCTGCAGCCTATGGCAACTTCAAGGGGCCTCTGTCCCTGACACTTCAGGGCCAGGCCCACCTTTCCCAGGTTCCAGCATCCCAGCCAAGCAAAGGTATGCTAGCAGTCAATTTAACTCCTAAATACACTGGAAAAGCTTGTCATCAATGAAATTATGCAGTGCGGGGCTCACTGTAGCTGGCAGTTATCCATTCCGAATCTGCAAGCCAGCAGCAGTTAGGGTACCAGTGCTTTTGCCCACAGCAGGCAAGAGATGGCCACCTGCTTCCTGTCACTACATGAGCAGCACCTTGCAGGGTAACGCAGGAAAGGCTTCTTTTGATTCAAACTAAACTCCCATGTAACATACAATCCTGCTCACCAGAAGCAAAGCAAAACTTCCCCCCGCCCCCGCCTGCTTTCTTCCTTAGTATTCATCAAGCAGTTGTCTTTTTTGCTTTTAAACACAGTTTTCATTACCCTTGTAGTGAACCTACCATAAAAAGGTGTTGCTATGGCTTAGAGAGCATCTTGGGTGAAAGCTGTCTGTGTACACAGGCCTGCTGGGCACCACATAAACTCCACATCGAAGCAGTTAACCTCAGGTCATGCAGGGTATGGTGAATATATGTAATCTTCAGGGAAACTGAAAATCTAGGCAGCAGTGTGTTGGCCGGACATCAGACAAAGTTTCTGGCATGAGGTAAACTGGCAGAGCACTGGACTGGTAGTTCGCTCAGTTTAAAATTATAGGAAAGAAAAGAGTTTTGTGGTTTCTGATGTATTTTTAATCCCTTTAAAAGTAGTTAGAGGAAAAAAAAGCTTCCCTCTGAAGCGTTCATATGGTATCATCTGATTGCTAAATGTAATCTCAGCAGTATTCATTGCAGATGTTTGCTGAGTTTCTGCAGTGGTAGCTGCAGAGGTTTATGGAGATACTTGTAAGCACACAGTCTCTGGACTGAGGGAATTCTATTCTCAAAAGAGTAATCTGTGGCAGCCAGCATAAATTCATTTCCCATAGCATAAAGCAAGTTAATTCTTTTTCAGAGAATGAAACTGATTTAAATTATACTAGTAGTTGTGTTTTTCTTGCCATTGTTTTTATGTGGAAGGGTACTTTATTCCTGTTAGCATTAATGGGAATTGAGTAGTTTGGTCTCCAGTCATAAGATTACAGAGTTAGCTTTAATGATAACCTTACAGTATTAATACTAAAGCAGCACGGCTGTTTCCCCTTCTCATTCTTTCCTCCCTGGGCAAACAAATTGAACTCCCAATAAAATTTCTCCATAATCACTCAAACCTGGCTTCTTAAATAGTTTGCGTTTCAGCTCAGTTGTGCCATCCGAAACAGAACAGCAGAAATGACCTGGGTTGACTGGCTTACCAATTGCAAGTAAAAAAAATCCTGTATTGTTTTATTAGCACAACCACAATGGCTGCTGTTGGACTAGGCTGACCTTTGGCCTAAGTATTTTACAATAAAAAAAGAGTTTAGGAAGTTGAGTTTGAAATTGCTTGTTTGCTGGAAAAATAATCATACATTGGGTAAGTAGTAAGGGAAAAGAACTTTATTGTAAAGCCAGTGAGGCTAAAAGCCTTTTTACAATGCATTTTTAGCAGTATGCAAAACTACAAAGCTGACCATAAGATCACAGTTTTCACAGTGTGTATTGGGTTATGTCTTGCATCTCTTTAAAACAGACCACAAGCTTCAGAGTTCTGTTCAGTTTCAGACTCTTATTGCTAAGAGGTTTTTATTCAAATATTTCTAGTATTTTCTAAAATAATTTACTGTTAAGAAAGGTATTTTTCAGGTTGAAACTTCATTTAGGGCTCTGCAGCATAGGCTTTACTCAGTCGTGTTATGCCGTAGCTGTTTTAAGGTAAACTCGTGATTAATTTGTTCCACTGAATATCAGCAACATTATAATGACCACCTGTAAACTGCTTAGAAAGGCTTCTCCTGACTGTAGGTAAAAGGATGACAGACAAGGACTTCTCTGGAATGGTTACAATCCATTGTAGTGTCTGTATGTATTCAGACTGCAGCTAAAATACCTCCTGCGGACTATGTGAAATAATTGCTAATAATTGATTTACCCCCTTCAAAATCTTTAATAACTGGAATTTTGACTTTGTTTTTTTTTATGTCCCAAGTGCAGTCAGATTACATGCCAGAATGGTAATAAGAAAAATTTAACTACAGATGTATTCTGACAGGTCTCTTAGTTATGGTGACTCTGAAAGGGAGCCGAGCGATGCTTCTTTCAATCCTCCCTACCTTAAACTTCTGATTAATGAAACTTGTATTTTGGTTTTCAGTTGTTTCTTTTTCAGAGCTTTTGGAGACTTTTCAGTCAGGCCTTTACTAGAAAAAGCCTTGTCTACTTAGAGGGCTTTTGCTGAGCACTCAGGAGGTACATTGTTCCACTAATTTAACATAGTTTTGTGCTGACATCAATGTATTCAGCTTTTCAGTGCACAGACCTACAGAACTCCACAAGACTCTGGTCTCCCTTATTGTGGGCTACCTTTCAAAGGCTGCCTGTCCTCTCCTGTTTAACTGCACATAATCCTAAAATCACCCAGAGACAATTGCTGACCACCTGTCCTGATTGCAGCTGTAGTAGCCGAGTAAGCTTGTGGGTTTGCTTATTTTTTTCATCAAGAATTAAACTGATCTCCTTTGCAACAAAAGCAACTCCCTTCTGTCCAGAAAGTCTGTAGGATCACTGTTACATTTAGATTGTGAGTAGTTTAAGAAAAATAGTCACAAGTTTTTGGAAACCAGTTGATCAGGTATCCAAGGGTAAAATGTCCTTTGAGTTTGGTTTTGCACAATTCACAGTGAGGCAGGGGATTTTTCTTGCAGTGATTTCTGTACCAGAATTTGTGAGCCCCCATCGGCTACTTCAGGCTGTTGGCTGAGAGGGTGAGAAGCTCTTGCAGTGAAGCAGGTGAGTGCTGATCCAGAAATCATGTCAACACATGATTTATTACCTTAGAGAGGACTGTGCCTGCCACAGATGGAGGCTTTGTCAATACAGACCCTGCGCTGGTTACTTCCAAAAGCTCATTCATATCTGCATTGCCTGCTAATTGCAACACAAGCATGTCATGACATACTCCATTGGCTATTTGGCATCTCTCGTTTAAAATGAGAATTACAATTTTTACACTTAGAAATACTCATCTGTAAGTATAAATTGGGTCAATAGAAGAAGATTCTGCTGAGACATCGTATTTGATTGCCATGTTGACTTTAGTCGGACATTGCACCTGAGTAATTTTATAATAGATTACTGTATGCAAATAACTCTCTAAAGCCTCGTAAATTATGCTAAGGAAGGAATGTAATTGTAGGTGCCGTAATGATAAGATACGACAGTTCCACACAGCAGATAAAAGCATTCAAAATGCAACCATGGAATAGTGCTGGAGTGAAGACAAGGCTAAAAGTAGGGACAGAAAAAGGACTGCACTTTGCAAACAGGGAGCAGGACAGTGAGCTGTGCTGACCACTGCGTATACAGAAGGCAATACTTTCTGCTTGAAAACTGGGCTATGATAATGTACCCAGGAAAAATGACTATGCATCCTGAAATACATTAGTGTTACTGCAACTGCAAGACATTTTCCCTAATTATTAGGTTTTGACAATCCAAAGTACACAATCAGAAAACTTGTTGTTTTTTCTTGTTCTGTTGGGTTTGGGTGTGTTTGTGGGGGGTTTTTGTTCATTTGTTCAGTTTTTTATTTATTTTATTTTGACAACTGTTAGGAAATGAAGGCTTATAAATAAAATAAGGGTGGTGTCTGGAAGTCCTCTTTACTCTTACTGTTTGTACAAATAATTGTGTTTATTACTAGCTGCATTTGGCAAGAGATATAGCATATGATAAGAAGTTAAATCATCGCTACCAAGGGTAACTTGCATTTTAAATGTGATGGGCCAAGTTCCTAACATTTAGATATGTAAAAATGTAAGGGGAGGGAGGAGTAGGGGGTGTTTTTGTTTGGGATTTTTCTGGTTGAGGTCTGCATTATGGTTGTGGAAGAACCATGAATTTCCACCAAGAGAGGGATTGAAATGACATTTCTAAAGCTTATTTAAGGTAATTTAAGTATTCTTGATGAGCTAGTCGGCTTTGGCCAAACTGATGTTTTGACTCCACACTCTGATAGGATTACCAGAATAAATACTATGTAAGAGGGTTGGAAGATTCCAAAATACGTTTCTTTTCCTAAAAGCTGACCTGGTTCTTTACCTGAAAGTCAAGACTACTGGATAAGTCAGTATAAAAGCCTAAAGAATTCCTTGCAAGTATTCTTCCTCAACATGGTAACTAGGCAGTTAAGAGCTTTAGATAAACTTTGTCCTGAAGGAGAAGACAACTGGTACGTTGGACCATAATGGTTCAATAGATTCATACAGCAGGACATTTTTCTGCAATGAGTCTGCAACACTCAGGAGACTGCTGTTACTTATCAGCATTGCAGGGAGGAAGAAGAATTAGATAATAACAAGTACATAAATCATCTTAGGAGGATGCTTATTCTTTGTACTGTTTTTCCTTGGAATGACATAGCCTTGGAGGCATCTATGAATCCTGATCAGCAAGGCTGCTTTTTGTCTAAGTGACTGAATGCGTGTAAGGGCTGATACAGTACAGAAAGAGAAAACTTTAAAGAGGGATGTGGTGTGGAACACTGTTGCCCCCACGTCAGTCGATATTCTTGCCCTTGCTAGGATATAGTTTGGGTTATTCAGCATGTTTGAAAGCTCATAAAGTTTTACAAGTTTTTGTAGTGGGGATGCAGGCATCCAGAATCTAACAAGTATGTAAGTGCATCTCCCTCATTTTTGACAATTACTTGATATGATTTTGTAACAAGTTCTTTGTTTTTAAAGAATTTCAAGCACTGAGGATACAGAGTACGTATTTATTTCTAAGCTTTAAGTAGGACACGTGGTGTATTTTTTAATCTTTTCCATATGTTTCAGTTAAGTGTTCACAAGACTGTATATCAAATACAATACCAAGTTTTTTATCTTTCTACAAGCCAGTTTAAGTTTCATCTGAATTTGGTATATATATATATGTCTTTCACAGAACACTAAATGGGGAATACGTGCTTCAAGCATTAAGGTGGTGTATGTCCTTTTCTCCATTTACACTGCATTACATTTCACTTCTTTTTTCCTTTGAGGCAGAGAGAGCAGATACAAAATGTGGTGAGTGTGTTTCAGGGGCACACAATGTGTTTCGTTGTGCCTGGCTTCAAGGAATGTACTGTAACGTTGGACTGCTCACAGATTTACATAATTATCTCCTCAGTTGAATACAGGGCTGTTGTGTTGTATTTCCTGTTACTCAGAAAATTTGGGGAAAAGATTTTTCTGTGTATAATTTTATTTTCATACTGACCTCTATTTTGTTTAAGACCATGTTTCATCTTGAAATCACTTAATTAAAATAAATCTTCTTACAAAATCCACTTTGGAAATCAACTCTTTTATTAAGCCTCTGAATATATCGTAACATTGTTCTTTAAATGAGTAGCTCGTACCTCTAGATCATTCTATGTCCTTTGCAGTATTTTAAAGCCTTTAGAGAAACAACAAGGTACTCTTTGCTTACATCATCTTTTCTAAGTGACTTCTGGTGGCCTATGGAGTCTGGCTCCATATGTTACAAACCCTAATTTTGGAAGCAGAGAAAGTAAGGATTCTGTGGCTATGTACAACATAATTTGAATGAAAACTGCATATGAACAAAAACTATGTAAAACTAAATGAATTAAAGCAGCAGATATGGCAGTCACCATGTTGTAGAGGCCCAGGCTTCACATGGGAGTCTGGCTTTTGAATGAAGCATCAGAACTGGCAAGGACATACTTTGGCAAGTAACACAGAGAAGCACTGTATTTCTGCAAAGAAACATCTTCAGGGAAGAATACATTTTTCCGTCTTTAATACAAGTCAGTGGCCCACACCAAAGATTTCCTTCATCTTTTGTAACAGATTGCTAGTTCCATGAAGAGATACTGGTCTTCATTCAGCACTTAGGCACGGGTTCTCCCCACCGAGACACAGTCCAAAGAGACCCTTGCTCTAGAATGGTTAAATGGCAAATTGTCACTTCTCCTATGTGTTATATGAACTCTTTGTGAAATCTAATATTGAAGTGGTGTATCTATTGCTTTCTACAAAAAGTTTTAAAGTAATTTTGTGTTACCTTGCTGCTAGCAAAGTGATGCCAGCTCATCAAAATCATTGAAGGGGAAATGCTGTGGGAAGAGGCTTTGAGACTTGAGCCCTTTCAGATTCTGCTCTCTGCCATCATTCTTGATGTTAGACTCCTAAGAGTTTATCCAGATCACTGATAACTGATGCCATGTATTGAGCAATTACTCAGTTCTTCCGAGTCTGTATCCATCTCGTGCTGGGTGACACTGAGGCAGTTGCGGTAAGCAGTGACTGGGTGAAATACAGAGACTTTGCCCATTGAATTGATGATTGCTTTTTGCTCTTATTTCCCTGTACAAAGGTGGTGGGATTTCTGCAGAGATTCTGGCACAAAGATTTCTTTTTTTAAGCAACTTGTATTAAATAAAACGTGATAATTCTTTTTGGATGAGGGGGTTATCTGTATTCAATGACTTGGTCATGGCCAGAATGGATTACTGCAGATATGGCAAGAGGCAGTATGCTGATTTTGAGGGGTTTGTGGCAAAATGTCATTGTGTGCTTTGAATATGTCATGGTTTAGGGTGGCATGTGGTATCAGGGAGGTTGCTTCAGCTAACAGTGCTTTTATAGATGTCTGGGGTATGGGCAATCTCTATAGGGTAGAGATTGGGGGGGGGGGGGGGGGCAGGGGTGTTGCTTATTTTATTCCCACAGAGTGAGAGAAACAACACTCAGGGAGTACTGGAGTATCCCCCCTAAGATAGACAGCTTTATGCTATGATCTGAGATGCACTAAATCAGCACATTTTTCAGCCAGCCTACTACTCTGTGTGGTGTTCTGGCGTGCCAACCCCATGCTCTTCCACCAAGCAAATAGCTGTGGGTACTTTGCACAACAACGGTCATCCACTTTGCAGGCAGATTTGCTCTTGCTCCCTGAAGGCTGCAGTAGCAGAGGCAACATTTAGAAGACATGGATCTTTGCCCATGGCTTTTGAACTGCAGGACTCTGAAAATGCTCAGGTAAGGCCTTGTTTTGAATGTGTTGTTGCATTACTTAAGCATGTACAGCCCTGGGGAATGGCTATGTCACAAAGAGGCTTAAAATACTGGTAGAGTTACTCTTTTGCCTTGTGTTTTTTGAGGCTTTTTTTTTGTCCTATGTATCAGGGTCTTGGCTAGCCAATGTCTTGCCAAAGAAGTTAACACAAGTGAGTTGGAGTGGGCAGTTCAAACATTCTCAGCTTCCATCTATAAGGCTCTTAATGTCACGCACTTGTCCCCCACTCGAGTGCCATAGTTACCTGCTTAGAAGGGTAGGTTGCTGTCTATTCAGTCCACACTTCATCAGCCCTGTGACAGGTTGGAGTGAAATCAGCACGTCTGGAGGGAACTGAGCTTCTTGAATGTTAGCTTCCTAGAACACCTATGGCTCTAATCAACGTAAGCTCTACAGCAGAGCCTGCCTTGCAAATGGATAATGATCGAGAAGAAATAGTTCTGTTCATGAAAAGCTCTAAAGACTGTTAAAAAACAACTTTGTAATTGAGGAAAGCAAGAGAAGAAGTTACTAATAATGGGAATTATGATGCTAACACCTGTGAGATAATTAAAAACATAGCAATTAATCACCAGATGTACGCATTAGTAATAAGTGTAGGTCATGATCCTTTACTGTGGTGACCTTCAGCCTACCATTCCCCCTTCTCCACCCTTTGTTTGTCATTCTCTGTGGTGGTGTATCTAAGTAAAATTCCAAAGTCCTCCGGGTGGAGTCCTGTCAATTATACCCTTCTGTAGGTGCCATACATGTTTCTATGGCATTACATAAACAGATAACCATGACTACAATGACATCCATGTCACGGAGCAGTTTTGCTATTTATTTGGCTTTCAGAACTTAAAGGGAAAGTAGAGCAAATCCTGGCCTTGAAAAGGATTGGTGAAGACACACAAGCAGCTAAGGAGGCAAACATAAGCACTGTCATTTACTTCTTGGCACCATGTGTTATAATAACCTAGAACATCTTAATTGTAGTCATCGTTTAATTTCACTCCTGAGGATCATTCGGTATGTTTGGAATGCTGCTTGCTTTTCATACTGCTCAAAGAACACCTTAAAACAAAACCAGTCTTTTCTATACGTATTTGTGTTTGAAATCCTGTTATAATGAAGAAGGGCACAGGCTGGAACTCTGCAGAGATGGTGGAACTCTGTGGGAGAGAGTAGAGATTTTGGGCATGTTTTGTCAAAAATATCCACAGCTCAGAATGCTAAAACCCTAGGTGTAAGGGAAAGCCAGCAGGAGTTACACTTGAAAATCACCTCTGGTTATTAGCAGGGAATCTTATTGTGCCAGGAGCATGGTGTAACCATTCCAAAGTCTTCCAAAGACTTCTTGCAGTTTTCTCAAGCTGTCTCACCTTCATTTATACTACTTTAACTAATCTGAATGTAAGCATTGCTGTGACAGCACGACTTGGGTACCATACTTGCCATGCACACTGCAATTACCCATTTCACTGGCAGTGCCGGGGCATAAACAAAACTAACCCAGTAACTCTAATGATGCGCTGCTGAAATTAAATCTGTTGCTCTTGAACTCTTACTCTACATGACTATTACTGCCTTTATGGCAAATAAAACGGATGTTTGCAAATTTCTAGGGCAGCTGGTTGGATTGCTTCATGAAGGAAAGCAATTTGACAAACAAATTGCAGCTATTTTAGAACTCTTTCTAATTTTCTTATTTCTAAATCATGCTTGAGGCTATTTTATATCCTCAAAAAGGGTCTTTGCAACCACAAGTTAAAGTCTTTTAACTTTCTTATTTTTCCTTCAGCTCCCTAAAGCTAGAGGCTCTGAACACCCACTTGCCACTTACGTGCATGGAAAATTGTCAAAACCAGGCTCTGTACTTGTAATAAAAGCACCAAAAAGTAGGTTTGTTCCCGTTTGAACATGCATGTGCAGATGTGCGTGCTGGTATATCTGTGTTCACTGGTCCCAGTCAGCAATACGGTCGTTCGGGACCTTGCAGGCTGCGCCATGAACATTACATAGAAAGCCCATCCGCATCAGTCAGTGCTGGTAAGCGCACACACGGTTTGTCATTGCGGTTGTGGGCTCTTTGTCACATCCTCAGCTGCGCCAGACCAGAAGCGAAAGGAAGCGCTGCAGACTTCGCGGGGCTGGCGCGGTGCAGCTGCCCTCAGCACCAGCGCACCCCGCGCACCTTGCGCTTCCTCCTGTGCAGCGCACGCCGGTAGCCCTCGCTGCGGTGCTGGGACTAGCAGATACTATCGCTGCACCTCGCCCAACCCGGCGGCTCTCTGCACCCCGCGCTCTCTGAGGTGGCGAAACAAAATGGCTCTGCCACAGCTGCCCCGGAGGCGCCGTCAGCCCACGGTCCCCACCAGGCAACCGGCCGGCGGGGCCCTGCACCCTGGGGAGCGAGGCGGGAGGGAGCCGGCCTGCCCCAGCGGGGTCACGCAAGGCCGCGGCTCCCAGCACCGCGGGAGGTGGCGGAGGAACCGCGCCGGCGCTGCCCCCTCAGCTCGCACGAAGGCACTCGGGGGAGGCAGCGGGCACACCTGCACCTCCCTCACCCCTTGTCCGCGCCCGCCCCGCCCCGCCCCGGCTGCCTTCGAGGGGCGAGGGCAGCCGGGCGGGGGGGGGTGGATCCACCAATCGCCGTGCAGAAGGCTGGCCCCGGTGGGCGCGGATTGGCTCTCTACGGCTGAGTGGGCGGGCGCTGCCGGGGCAGCCACATCTCCCGGGCTGCGCTTTTCAAACGCCGGCTGTGCGGGTGCGGCGGTTGGTAGGGAGGGGGCCGGGCCGGGCCGGGCTGGGCTGCGGCGCGGCGGGGGCCCTGGCGGCGGCTGCAGTTCCCGCTCCGTGAGGGGCTTCTGTGAGCCCTGTGGCGGGAGGTGAGTGTGCCCGAGACGGCGCTGCGGTTCCCGGCCTCGGCTGCCGCGGGGGAGGGCGGGCGGGTCCGGTGGTGCCTTCAGTGGGCAGTGGGAGCTTCGTGCTGCCTCTCCCGGCCGCTCGCTCTCTCCCCGGACAGCGGTAGCGGGGGTGCCTGTGGGTAGGGTTGGGGTACCCCAGGCCGCGTCCCGCCTGATGTCCCGCACTCGGCCGCGGCCAGTCCGCGCAGGGCTCTCTGTGCGGTGGCAGAGTAGGGCAAGGCGGAGGCGAGGGAGCGCTGCGTATCCTTCAGACCCGCTCCGGTGGGCGGCCGCGCAGGTTGCCACAGGGCTCAGCGGCCCCGGCGGGTTGCCTGGTGCTGGGTGCCTGCCACCCGTTACACCCGGGGAGGTGCGGGCCCTGCAGCGGCGCGTCGTGCCCTGGTGCTGCTCCTTCCGACGTCCTTCTTTGCTGAACGTGTTCCTAGTCCGGAGCAAGGGCTTGACCTCTGAAATAGTTAAATGAAGTGACTTTCTGCCCAGTTAAAGGTAGCTCAGGGGGAGGTTTCCTCTTCAATGGGAAGCTTGCAAGTTTCGGTGAGATCCGTGTTTCTGATGTTTGTTACTGAAGTACATGGTGCAGTGTGCAACAGCGCAGGTGTCCCTTTCAATTTCGGAAATGGTCTATGTATTAGAGCTTGTGCCATTTTTCATAGCTAACCGGATTTGAAGTTGGATCTAGTTCTCTTGAATAGATTATGTGTCTGACTGTGGTTTTCTGCCTGCTATATGTTTTTCCTCTATTATTAATGATACCAAGCTATAAAGAGGAGATAGCGTGCCTTACCAGAGAAACAAACTCAATTCAACATAAGACAGTAGCTCTCCTTAATAGTCACTCTTCAAGGAGAATGGTTGAAAGTGTTATCTTACATAGTACATTTGATAATAGCAAGCTCTTAATCGATTAGGTCAATGTCTAATATATATAAATCACTTTATGCTAAAGTACTGCAGTAACAAGATAACTTTAACTGATAAACTGCTTAGTGAGTACAGCTCTGAGGAGAGTCATGTAAAATTTCAGGCACCTGAATCGGTCTCTTACATGATAAGCTGCCATATAACTGGGGAAAATGGAATGCATATTTGTTTATAAGAAACTGTTTCATGCATCTCATGTGCTACTTTGAAGATATTCTTGAACTCCGTGGGGGTTTTGTGTGTTGGCTTCTCTTTGGTCTCCTGCTAACGCATGAATCATGATTTAAATCCCAAATAGTTTGAATATGAATGTCCATGTTCCAAGAAGTGGTAATTTGAACAGTGCTTGATGGATGCTGGATTATATTTGAATCATAACTAGTTTGAGTGCTCCCCCAGAAGTTTCTGATGCTGCACTTCTGTCATGTGAAGACTGAAAGTGTATTTCTGTAAGCTTGTTAACTGTATCTGAACTGTAACTTGCGTGTGATTTCTTTTCCATCACTAATAAAGGTAAACTTACATAGTAACTTAAAATAAGCCATTAATTAAGACTTTGGTTATCCTTCAGTAACCCTTCTTTGTCTTGCTTTTGCATTTTGCCTGAAGCAGTGCTTTAGGCCTATGAATGTGAATGCCAAAACCCAGTATTCTTACTTTTTTTAACAGTAGTAGAAATAGTGTGGGTGGGTATATCTCCATAATGTGCTGTTCTACTGGTTTATTAAGGTAATTTAATCAAGATTACTACATCATTTGGTTCTAAATGATCTGAATTTGCAAAGAGGATGTTGTCCATTCATGCTGCTTTCTGGCAAATAATCTAGCGTTAAACTGAAGTTTAGATGAGCTCTGAGTGAGTTTAATAAGAATGTGAGTCTTCTCAACGGAAAAAAAAAAAACAACCCTCCTTTTTTTCCCCTCTTTGGTTAGCTGTTCCTGCTGTGTTACAAAGAACAAAAGGGAAGGAGTTTTGGTTAAGTCCCCTAGCAATACCAGTGAAAAGTGTGAACTTAAAGGAATTGCTGGAAGTTACCAAGAATCCAAGGGAGATCTAAAACTTATTTTCAGGAAGCTTAAAAAAAAGTGCATATCATTAACAGCTAAATAGTTATTAGCATTTTCACTAGAACTGAAGCTTGTGCCTAATATATTACGGATATGGTCCAGGGAGGGGGGGAAACTGACTCATCTGAAAAGTTAAAATAATTAAATACAAATCAGTTCATTTTCTTAGCATGTCTTGATTACTGTTCCTTTCAGATTTTATTTTTACAGAGGTTAAATATGGTGTTTTCAGGTCACTACTAAACAAAGCTTTTCTAGTCTGACAGACCTAAACTCTAATATCTGCATACTTTCCTGTGCTGAAATTATGGAACACCCCAAACTGAATTGTTTTGCTTTAACAGGTGACTGGTTGAAGCGGGAGACCTGTTCCTGACCATGTCAAGGAGGAAGTTGGAGAATAAAAGCCTTCCTGGCTTGTTAGCCACGTCTCTGAACACACAGATCAAGACAGACAATTTCCACAATTTTTATATGCTTGAATCAAAAGAGCTGGGAAGGTGAGGTTAATTCTGTTTATTTTAGTAAGAGGAGTTTCTGTTGCAAGAGAATTATTTGTCCAATGAGAGACCTTTTCTGCCAAGCTTTTATGGTAGTAGATGGGGAATGAAGTATGTCTCTCTTCTTCCTCATTCCCTTCTTTGCAATATTCAACAGGTTCTCTGGGGACCAGGAAAAGATACTCTGAGATGTAAATTGCCAGCCTTTTCCATGTTAGATTTAGCCTGTTCTCATAGGAATGCAGATCTGGGATTATGTTCCTTTGCTTCCCTGTCTAGTCACAAACTGTATTCCAGGTACATAAACTAAAGAAGAGATAACATAGGGTAATACTGTAAGAAAAGAATGGGGATTTTGAGTTGGTTGTAGGTTGATTTTTTTATTTTTATTTTTTTTTGAAGTCCAGCAAAGACCTCTTCTCTCCCCCTTTCACCCTCCAGCAGTTAGTCTAAGTTTCTAACAACCTGCTGCTTCAGAGTGGTTTTGCAGCCTATTTCCCTTCCTCATGTTTGCAATAGCAAAACAGGAAATAAAGCCAAAGGAAAAAAAAAGACCTGTTGGTATTTATGGTACAGTTTCAGACATCTGAGTCAATGTGTTTTTGAGGTCACTGGGATAATTCATACCTTGAAAATACTCACTGAATTGGGTGCAAAGCCATGCAAACGTAATACCATGGTTGTGTTTTCAAGCTCCTTGAACAGAAGTGGCATGGCTCAGTCTCACAGTTCTTGTGCCTCGCTGTGCTACATAGCAGTCTTTGGTACCTGCAACTCATTTTGTCAGTAGAGATGCTCCTCTGCATGTGATTTTTAAGATCTTCAGCCTTCATTGCTCTCTTGGGGTTTTGCTTGTTTGTCTTCTCGTAGCATGTGCTTTATCTGATGCACTTCTATAAAAATGCACCTTGCAGCCCTTAACTTTTCTATTTTCTTACCCCTCTGTCAGCTCTAGTTTTAAGTTGTGGGCTCTGCAGAAGCAGTTTATATGCACCATCCTCTGTGCTCCAGTATTCTCAAGCAGCTGGATTTTCAGATTATGCAACCTGTGAGATGATGTCTAAAGCAAATAAAAGTATTGATTTTGTGTGGATTCCAAAATGGAGTCTTTAAAAGTTTCTTTACATGCAAAATCAGGCATAAGAAAATAAGTGCTGAAATCTAAAGAAACACAAGCAGAGCAGTATGTTTTCCAAGCATACGTTTGACTTTTCCTGGCCTAACAATGTCTGTGGTTTTTTGTGGTTTTTTTTTTAATTTTGCAAGTATTTACAACTGTTTAAGTGATGTAAAATCCACCTTTGTAGCTTCCCCAAAAGATTTAACATGCTTTTTCTTTTCACTTGCAATTTTCTTTTTCCTCTTCGTATTACTTAGTAAATGATTCTTTTGTTCTTCTCTACTTAAGCCTCCCAAGTCCCATTTCTTCCTCCCACACCCTTATCTTTTAGGTCCTTTGGTATTTAAGACTGACTCATAAAGCAGGCAGGTTCTGTTTAGTGGGTTAAGTATTTTTTATCCCCAGTATGTGGATGGCTTGGCTTCTTTTGAAGTAGTTGAATTTCTGTGGTTTCTAACTTGGGATATCAAAACAACTTGAAATTGTTTTTTATCTCATAAAATTGGGCTATAAAGTGTGTGATGGTTAAGGAGTTACTTTGCAGGCAAGGAGGAGTGAGGCCTTCTTTGCATGCTTCAGTGCAGCACCTCAGATACGACATTTTGCATTTCTGGGGAAATTCCACTACTCTAAAGCAATATTTTTTGTCTAATAATTTTATCTTGGTAATTGGCACACTACAAATGCAGTACAAAGAAGTGGAAATTCTTACATGATTGATCTGAAGATACTGCTGACCCTTTAAAGCTGTTACACTCAGAGCAGCTAGAAGGAAGATATGCAGAAACTTATCTCACTGTTCTCATGAACTTTTATAATTTTAGAGGCACTTTTGTGGTTGATAGGGTGATGTTAAAACAAGAATGTAAGCTGTGGGGGAGTATCCTATACTTGGCTATATTGCGAAATTCGGCTCAATAACTTAAAATGGTCTGCAATAATAAGCTGGTTTAACAATTTTTCACACTTGAGAAATAACTTGGCCTTTCCAGCCTTACAGATAGTTGCTAAAATCAAGAATGTGAATGTACCAAGCTGTAAATAGCTTTCACCTCTTAAATTAATTTTGCTTCTGACTTCAGAAGTTAACTTTATAAATTCAGTGCTTTAAAAAAGGACAAATCCTATAACTGAGACTGAAATAAATGATAGCAAGAAGTTGTTTCGTTGAATATATTTCTAGATTGTGTCAGTTTGCACAAACGGTATTTAACATGTTTTTTTGCAAATGGAAATCTCTTTTTTCATTAAATGCTCCTACCTTTTTTCATTAAATACTGAAGTCTACAGATTTTTCTCTAAAAAAGCCAGACATGACTTTTTTTTTTTTCATCAGAGACTATAGCAGTAGGACAAGGGGCAATGGGTTTAAGCTAAAACAGGGGAAATTTAGGTTACATGCAAAGAAGTTCTTTACTATGAGGGTGGTAAGGCACTGGAATGGGTTGCCCAAGGAAGTTGTGAATGTGCCATCCCTGGCAGTGTTCAAGGCTGAGTTTGACAGAGCCTTGGGTGACATGGTCTAGAGTGAGGCATCTCTGCCTATGGCAGGGGGTTTGAACTGGATGATCTTAAGGTTCTTTCCAACCCCAACCATTCCATGATTCTGTAGTATGTTCCTTTTAGGGTTTGGGGCGTTTTTGCACCAGAAGGGCAAAGCCCTGCAGGGCAACATAGTCCTTTCTACTAAAGGAGCTAATTTAGTTGAAATTAGCTCAGCTCAGATAGCTCATACTGAGCTTCTTCATAAAGTTTGTTTTTATGCTGTGGTAACAAAAAATATGCATGGAAAAGCCTTTAAAAAAAACAGTCCAGAAGTGTAGATCTTGTTCTTTGTACACAGTTTTAGAACTGTTTTTAGAACTTTATGCAATTTATTTTAGCTCTTCAAGCTCTGTTTGTTTTGGGTTGTTTTTTTTTTTTAATCATGTTTTATCATTTGAAAGCACTTTGCAAGTATGCAACTAGACATTTCTGGGAATGCAAAACTTGTGATTATAAAACATTGTTTTTTCAATTTATAACTTGGCTTAAAAAACTGCATTTTTTCCCCTATTTTTTTTCTTTAAAGGTCAGCTTGGTGTTTTAACTACAGAGTGTGGTTTTCTCTTATAAACCCTTCCTTGCCAAAATACATTTTTGTTTCCATACCGAAACAGTTGGCTAGGAAAGAAAGCAGCGCACTTAGACTAACTGTAATTGAGGAAGAGAATGCCAAGTACTGGTGTCTTTCTGTTAAGATGTTTCTGAGCATTTTGTAGATGCCTAGGGTTTTTTTTAGTAGTATTGCATGATCCACTTTCTTTAAAAGTTCTTGCACTAAAGACCTTCCCCCTGTCCGCAGCATACAAATACGCTTTATTTTCTGTGTTCATCCTCTATATTTCACAAGGTGTTGCTTAGTTTGTTACTGTATCCTGTAGGTATGATAATGTGGATGAAGATGGTTTTTTACATAGTATTTCCAGTCTGAAGCAAGTCCTGAGCAGCCTGGCAGAATCTCGTATATAGCCATGCTTTAAGCAGGAGATTTTGCTAGAGATCTCAAAAAGTCCCTTCTAACCTGGGTTGTTCTAGGATTCGGTGATCCTACATTGAGAATAACCATGTAACCTCATACTCTGATTTAATCTTAGCTAGTCTATATAAAGGGAATTGTACTGGGTCTTGTTAAAGCTTCATCTAGCTTAGTATGCTTTTTCCTACAGTGGCTGAATGTGAATGTTCAGGGAATCGTGTAAGAACAGGCCAATCATGGCATTCCCCTGTTAAATTTTTTCTTGGTTTCCAGTTATTTGTCATGCTTTTTGTTCCTGATGGCAATTTACATACTTTTTATATCTCTTAACGTTTTCCCTTTTATTTTGTAGAGGAAGATGTGCTGTGGTTAGAAAATGTATCGCTAAATCCACAGGCCAAGAGTATGCAGCTAAGTTTTTAAAGAAAAGAAGAAGAGGTCAAGATTGCAAAGCAGAGATTCTTCATGAAATTGCTGTGCTTGAATTAATGAAATCTAATCCTCGCATAGTTAATCTCCATGAAGTCTATGAAACAGCAAATGAAATCATCTTAGTGTTGGAATAGTAAGTATGCCTTCATCCATGTTGCATATTTGTAGTTACAAATCTGGCAATATACTCTTTAGTTTTTGCATGAGTTGCCTGAACACCTAGAGAATTACAACAGCACAGTATTGTGTTAATATTTCATTATGTTATGCTTTATAAACTCTTAGGGACTTTTTTGGTATAACTTATTTTCATGTAAATGCAAGAGTTGAATCAGTTGGCGTTAATTGGAATCTGGTTGTGTATATGTGTTTTGTTACATCCACAGCTAATGAGTTATGTCAAACAATATGGAATAAGGCATTAAAAAAAAAATAGACCAAAACGTCTAGTAGTTCTGCACTCAAAACATTTAAAAAATGGACTGAAAGATTTTCAGGCTTTTTTACAAAAAGCTTTTTAAAAATGAAAAGAGTAATTTTCCTCCTGCACAGCCTTCATAGACTATTCCATTCTGTTTCAAATTGGAATAGTTTTTGTGCCTTTAAATACTTCAGGTGGGTAATTTTAATTAAAACTTGCCTGTTTAATTTGAGCAGACTTTTTCTTCTGTTAGCTGAATTTTTGTAAAAAGCTGTGATAAATATTCAGGTCAGGCTGACCTGATAGAAAACCTGAATACAAACTCTAGGGTGGAATCGTGTTTTTAGTCCTAAAGATTTTTATGCAAGCTGGCCAGAGAGGGTGTTCTTGAATTTAGGAAGTGCACAGATGCTTTGATCTTAAATCATATCGCCCCACTCTCCCCCCCCCCTCAAAAGCAGCCATTGATACTAAATACACAGATTTCAGAGAAGCTAAGAGCTGAGCATGTCCATGTTCTGTGAAATTTACCTCAAGTCACCACTTGAGGTTGTCTGGTGTCTGAAAAATTACAATTCTTTTGTGGGTTCTGACCTTCTAAATGTAGTGGTTTTGTTGTTTTAGAAGTGTTTGGCTTTTGGAGCTGTTTCTTCCAAAATTCTGTATCTGTTTAGATGTCCCTGTCACTTGTCATTAGCTCTGAAAACAGGTTTAATTGGGGGATTGAATTTGAATTAGAGTTATCTATCATATTTCCTGTATGTGTAAATCTTTGTGTGTAATGTAAGGAAGAAAAATGCAGTTTGTGAAACTATTTAGGAAGTCTCTCTCTAGGATTTAAGTTTCTCATACAAAGTATTTGAAGAACTGTTAATGGTGGTCTGCATGCACCATAATAAATTCCTTCAAATCTGCCACAGAATCTAGCTTGCTTTTTTGCTGGAACTAGGTGATCCCTAACATACTGTTTATTGTTCCAAGAAGGGTAAAATAATGTAGATGTAAAATCCAGCTGACAAGTTTTGAACTTCTTACTGAGAACAACTACAAATTCACATAGAAGCCACAATGTTTTCGTGCTTCTGTTTCAGCTCAGCTGTCTTGCTTGTTAAAGGTCTGTAGTAAAGCAACTTCCTTATGCTGCGGTGATGTTAATAGTCTGTCTTATAGTAGCGTTCGGTCTTGCAGTAAGTGTTCCTAGTTCTATTGGAATAAGCAAAGGGTTGATTATGCTTTTAGATTGTCATCTGTAGCAGAGTACATATTTTTGTTTGTTTGTTTTCTCATTATCAGAACTCTGAATCAGTCCTTTAAAAGAATTGCAAGAAATGAGTCTCTTGCTCATAAAATAGTTAATAAGTATATCCCTTCTAGCTCTGTTTCTCCTCTTACATATGGTCCCTGGTGGTGTTGGGTTGTTCCTGAGCTGTACCTGCAGGTTCAAAGTTTTGCATTGTGTAGGATTCTATTAGGTTATTTTTCTGAAGCTATGTAATTATGTGTGCTACAAGTCATCTGGTGATCTTTCTATTCGCTTTCTCAGTTGATGCTGAATTTGCTTGTTAAGATCTTCCCTGAACTGGGGAGCCAAAACCAGGGTATTGCATTCTAGCTGTGGTCTAGTGAGAGTCACTTGCCTCAGCCTGCCGGCTCTGCTGCAGTTACTACAGCCCAAGGTGCTGCTGACCCTTGCTGCATTCAGCTTTCTGGCTGTAAGGACTCCCAAATCCTATGCAGCCGAGCTGTTCTTGCTCTTTAGTCATCTGTATGTCCACCCATCCAGTCTGTAACATAGTAACTTGGATACAAGAATACTGTGGGAAACAGTGTTGAAAACAGTGCTAAAGTTGAAGTAAATGACGTCCACTGCTCATCTATGTTTTGTCATAAAGGCAAAAGGAGAGGCATTACTGATACCTTGCATAGCTCCAGCAGATTAGTGACTGTGTTTATCCATGTTGTCCATTATCTAACTTTTTTATACACTTACCATTTTGTGAACAATAAAATTGAGGCTTACTGGTTGGTAGTTTTGAGGCGGCTCTTTATCTTTGAAAGAGAGTATCTCCAGGTAGTTAGAGCAGGCTGAGTAATTATGTCAAACCAAGCACGAAAGGAAACAGCTGACTCTGTGGCAGAGTATAGAACTAACTAACCACATGCAACATGGTTATTTCCACGCTTCCTTTATGCTGTAATAGTAGGGGGTTTTATAAGCAAACAACAGCCTTTTTCTGAGGAAGACATACTTGAGATCCTGTGTAAAAACATGGAGCTTGTCAATCTCATCTTTGTTGTTAGTGTGGCAATGGTAGATTTCAATGTGATGGAGATGAGTCCTTGTATTTCTGAATATTCTGTATCTGCCAGAGTTCTGGAAGAGCTAACTGACTAGGCAACTGCACATTTAATCATCAGCAGCATGCTAGATGTGCTTCCTGGTACCTCTCTGATTTTTAGTCTTCCATCAGAATGGCAGGACCTAGGGTGGCAAGGATACAGTTCCCTTCTACTCCAGAAATAACCTTCAACAACTCTGACTGTTCACTGTATTGTAGTTCATGCATTTACACCACAGCCACATAATGAAAAATAATGGTTTTTACTTGCAAATTCAGACTACTGCTGGGCTTTCTTGCTTTGAATTATTAACGGAACTGATCAAATGGAAAAAATTTTTGATATTTTTTTTTCCTCCTAAGTGCTTATATTGTGTGTCTTGGCATAAGTGTGTATTTAGCCTTTCTGAGAAAATGAATATATATTATATACATTTGTACTATGCATAAAATTTTTCCTCACTTAAGTTTGAAAATTCAGACTTAATATGTAACTGTTCTTGAATGTGTTTCAGTGCTGCTGGAGGAGAAATATTTGACTTGTGTGTCCCAGATCTGGATGACAGAATTGGGGAAAGGGATATTGTAAGACTTATAAGACAGATACTTGAAGGACTTCGCTGCTTGCATGAAAACAACATTGTTCATCTGGATTTAAAGGTGAGGCTGCAGCAGAGGTTTTATTTTAGTACTTTATATTTGATTTAGTATTGTGATAACTTGTTAAATACGTAACAGAAAATGATGAGAAAAAATATACTAGTGATTAATTCTTTAAAACTTAGTAATAAGTATTGCATAATAGAAATTGATAAGTCATTTAGTACATTGGTGACTTTTGCAGCTTGTGTTTTAATTAATTGAGAATCAAATCTTTCCTGTTCTAGCCTCAAAATATTTTGCTGAGCAGTGTCAATCCTCTTGGTGATGTCAAAATAGTAGATTTTGGTATGTCTCGGAAGCTTGAGAATTCTGGTGAACTGCGGCAGATCATGGGAACAACAGAGTATCTAGGTATGGAAGAGTTGCTTCACAATCTCTGATGTGTGGTTTTGAGAAAGCAGAAATACTTCGTATAATGTGCTTATCTACTTATCAGTCATTACTGGAGAAAGAACAACAGGACAAGGCAACATGTTCTGAGCTGTTCTTAGAGTAGTCTACAAATATTTCCACTTGAAAAACCACCAAATTATATCAACAAGTGCACCTCTAATTTCATGCTAAAGTATTTACTGCTGCTGTGATGCAGACTCTTAAATCAACAGGAAATTTTGGCTGTTGTATTTCAACATTAATCAAAAGAATTTAACATTAGCATGCACAAAGAAATGTTCTTTGAATGAGGAATGCTGTTCAGTATGATGATTTAATGAGATAAAAATAATCCTTGGAAAGGGACAGATTGCCAGTAGCACTTGGCCCTCTCCAAGGCGCAATTTTCTTAATGATTTGCCTATGCTCAATTTCAAGACCACTTAAATCTGTAGTCAGTAAGTTGTTACCTAGCATATAAAGAAGAAGTTCTTTACTGTAAGGGTGGTGAGGCACTGGAATGGGTTGCCCAGGGAAGTTGTGAATACTCCAACCCTGATGGTGTTCAAGGCCAGGTTGGACAGAGCCTTGGGTGACATGGTTTAGTGTGAGGTGTCCCTGCCCGTGGCAAGGGGTTGGAACTAGATTATTTTAAGGTCCTTTCCAACCCTAACTATTCTATGATTCTATATGCTAACAGCCACTGAGCCTAAAATTGGCCTAGTCATCTGGCTTTGCAGCGTTAGCATGCTGAAGTCTATGCATTCCCCTTGAAAAGCTATACACTTGAAAACCAGTTAGAAGACTATATTATGTGCATGCATCTGATTACAAAATATCTTGGGATTTGGAATATGTACAGAATAGTGTGCCTATTAGTGTGAACCAATTAAGCATCAGTGTTTCTAATCAAATGGAAATAACATTTTTCCATCTTGTGGCTTGAAAATAGTAAACTTGATTATGGAAACTGCATGGTTAGATTCATAATGGTTGGCAGAATACCTGCCAGAAATGTAGTGTCTGAATATTCAAGGCCACTTGAATAAATTCATTAAAGTGTTTTTATTCTCTCCATCTCTTTATCTAGCTCCAGAAATCTTAAACTACGATCCCATTACCACAGCTACAGATATGTGGTAGGTTGTATATGATAATTCATTTTATTGAGGTAGTCGTGACCATTTAACAATCCAGACTGGAGCCAGATCCAAACTCTGCAGTTCTATCTGGGTTGCTTCTGTTGGGTTGACCAGAAGAGGTCGAGTTGGGAGGGGAAGGAGCCCTCAGGATGTAACTTCGGGTTTACAGGAATTACTGTATATGGGTCTGTTGCACACCTAGTAGGGAATATAGGTGGTGTCTAAGCATGCAGAGTCTAGGTATTTGTTCCAAGGGAAAAATAACTGATTGGATAGTATACTTTGGGCATTAGCTACTCTTGGATGACTTGTTTCAGGTAGCAACTGCTCTTGGACACTCCTCCCTCCCCATTTTTGTATCATTAAATAATTTTACTACACAAATGATAACTGTTTTAACTTTCTACCTCTTACCTTTAGAGCAGTATCTGCAGAATGTGTCATAAAAAAATGAGACAAATCCACAACTTTATTAAGTATACTTTTGTAGCCTATTAATTTTGTGAGCTATGTTAGTGTAAAGCTACCTTTGAGATCTTTCCTTAAAACATTTTTGAGCATCTAAATAATGAAGTTTTAAAAGTTGCTGTGATCTAAAATCAACTCCTTGAAGTTCACGGTTCGTAACAGCAATTGTATCTGTTTGTGAATGTTTTTTTTTATTTATTTGCTTGCTTTTTGGAAAAATGCACAACCAAGCTATTGGTGCTGTACTCAGAATGACAAACTCAGGATGCATGTTTCCCCACTAATGAGGGCTAAGGTTTGATCTGTCAGATCACAAACCCATTTTTATTACTCATCAAGAAACTAAGATTTATAATAAATCACTTGATGATGTTGTACTCATGCTCATGTTCTTGGGGAAAAAGATTTCAGCCCGAGGATATTGTTACACAACTGGGATGTCACTTATACAGAAAGATTGACTAAGTCTCAGTCATTGTTACTTCATCCAGAATTGTAGTGCAAGATAGGTTTTATTTACATGTGAATTAGAAAATCTATCTTGTTGCAATTCTAACATCCAGAATTGCCCATAAGAGTGGGCTGTGTAAAAGCAGTATATTTCCTTTTCCTAGCAATCTCAGTGGGAGGAAAAAGTTGTATTGAAAGCAAGCAATTTTCAGAAATCCTTTTACTGAGATACATAGCTTTCCTTGTGTGTGTGTGTCCTTCAAACACAGAAAACCGAGGTGTCGCATGATGTTTCTAATTCCCTGAGTGTGGCATACATCAGGAAGTCAGATCTGCAGGACAATAAATATATAGGGTATATTGTTTAGGTATCCTAGTAGGATTATTCATGTGGTTTTTCTTTGTCTCAGGAACATAGGTGTAATTTCATACATGCTGCTGACACAAGAATCTCCATTTGTTGGAGCTGATAATCAAGAAACTTACCTTAATATATCTCAAGTTAATGTGGATTATTCAGAAGAAACATTTTCATCAGTTTCACAGCCTGCCAAAGACTTCATTCAAAAACTCCTCATAAAAAATCCAGAGTAAGTAACAAACCCCCCTGGGCAAGAATCTTACCTTTTATGTTCGTGGAGCACCTAGAAAAAATGAATGTTAATTTGGGAGCTTAATACCACTGATGGGATCAGGCAAGCATTTCACAATGCACTGGTGATTATCTGTAGGCTTATGCCTTTCCATAATGTATGGAAATGATCTCTGGTTCACTGTCTGGCTTTTCTTATAGTCAGGCTTGTGCTTTGAGCTTCATAATTTGAGTTTCTTTATATTTTCATTCAAAGGACAGCTTACTAACAAATCTGAAATATATTCTAGAAAGGTCACATTCTTGGCTATAATTTAACCTTTTATTGTGCAATTTGGAGATACAAAATGCAATCCCTTTGATGCTGTGCTTTCTTGTTTCCTGACTTATCTTTAATGCATCTTTCTATTTTAATACATTTTATATAAAAAAAAAAACAAACTTGGCAGTCTTCTGACTGAGCAAACAGTCTTCAAGAATACATAGTTCTGCCATGTTCAGTCTCTTAAAAAATGTTCTTGATAAAAAGTACAAAGGTTCTGTTTGTAAGGCATGCTTATGTAACTTTATAGACATTAACCATGTCTGCACTTGCTGCATTGTGTTAAATTTGGATTTTTTTTTAGCTGTTGCAGCAGCAAATATAGTAAAAAGCAGCCAACCAAAAAAAACCCACTGCCACATGCCAAAAAAAAACCCAGCCTGAACCCCCAAAATCAAACCACCAAAAACCACCACCCTAAAAGATGTATATGGGGGAATAGTATTTAGTGGAGTCAGTTAGTCATGTTTTACTAGGCATGGTCAGGCACTACCAATTATAGTGCTAATTATTGTCACTTGTGGTGAGACAGTAGTCCCTCTGCTTCAGAGAGCCTGGGGCAAGCAGGAGTGTTCCTGTTATTTAGTTGAGAAAGAGGTTCTTTGGTGGGAGGGGACAGTATTATCTATGAAGTGCCTACTTTGATGAAATAAAGACTATATAAACTCATTATCTGAAGAGTCCTTTCTGTTTGGGCATCTCATATAGAGGGTTTGTCAACATCTAGAATAATTCTTGAGAACCATAGTATCATGGGGGAAGCAATTATGAAGAACTTGATTTGATAAATGTTAATGTGGACCTGCAGGATGTTTGACATTGTCACAGTCACTACTCTACTTGCTTTCTTGCTTCTGGGCATCTTGATGTCTTCATTATATCCTCAATAACCTTCCTCCCCTTTCTGATTCTTGATGACTATACCCTCTTGAATCTTAAGAGGAAAAATGTGTCCTGAGATAGTCAGCTCTGTAAAGTTACAGGTCTCTGACAAAAAAATATTCACATGTTCTGGTAAAGTTAAGGACAAGTAGCGGACTCTGCTGCATTTCTAGCAGGTTCTGTGGAATTTAACAGTGCAGAACACAATGAAAACTGTAGTAGCGCTATACTAGGTCATCAAAAGGAAAAAGTTTGTGTTTTGTTTGGTAGTCACTACACTGTGGAAGGGCTTACGCCCCATAAACAGCAAGAGTAAAACACTGCTGAAGTTGGATAGTGTTGATGACACCATGTTATTTGGCCCTCCTTGAAGACTTAATGACTGAATATTCATTAACCTATTTACAATGGTCTGTATAAAACATAGGACTTCAAAAGCATAAGCTCAGGCACATTTATATAGACAGTGTTGAAAACATTCCAAGGGACTATGAATACCAGCTGAGAAACACCTGTTCCTTGTTCTGATGAAAAGTTACCAGTTCTGACATTCAGCAGTAGGGAAGGCTGTCAACTAAAATTTAGATGCATGTTGCCAAGACTTAACTATGGTGGGGTCTAATGTGTTTTGCAGTAGCTGTGGTACTGGTGGAAAACCAGGTGTATTAACTCCTTACTGCCAATTCTGCATAAGATTTCTTAACATGACAGGGCTATTTAAATATGTTTTCAGTATTTCTGAAATGAACTTAAGGAACTTCACCCTTTTCTCTTTCAAAGGCAAAGACCCACAGCAGAGGCCTGTCTTTCTCATCTGTGGTTGCAGCAAGGGGAGTTCATACTCTTGTGTAGCCCTGAAGAAACTTGCTGCTCTTCTCTAATGCCAGGACACACCACAAAATGGTCAGAAGAGCGGAATGTAAAATCTAGTAGTAATGGTACCTGCAGCAACAAGGAAGACAAAGAGAACATTCCAGAGGACAGCAGTATGGTCTCCAAACGTTTCCGTTTTGATGATTCATTGCAGTATCCCCAAGACTTCATGACAGACTTCATATGTTAATGTGTAATACAGACTTTTATAAAATGGATTTAGCATAATCTGTTCCAGTGGTGAATATAAGATTATAGCTTGCCAATTTGTGCAGCATTGGCATACTAGAAATGCACTTTGATTCTTTTATGCTGGTGCTTCCTTTTCTGTCCGTTGCTGGCAATGGATTTAACCCCTGAAAAACTGGGGTTGGTTGCGCCAGTAAAATGAATTTTTTTTTTAAGAAGATTTAATTAAATATTTTTGCACTTTTCAAGTTTTAGTCCAAAAATCATGCCAAAGTGAACAAACTGAAACCTGAAGATGAGTTTGTTTCAGCTTGAGCTTTGCCAAACAGTGGTTGAATACATACATGCTTTCATGACTAGCCTTAAGAAATTGGTGTAAGCTGGGGAATTGAATCTAGCTGTCCTACTGGGCTTACTTGTGACCATTCTCGTCACTTTAAATGGGAGCTGAAGTAGGCATGTTTTAGGAATACGGTACATCTGTTGGGGCCATTTGCAAAACCACTTTCTCTCTAGGATCATTAGTAGTTAAGGAAATGTTTCTGCCTTACTGATCTGGTCCACTTAGGAATTATAATGCATACTCTGTGTGTTTCCCAACAGGAAAATGAGTTGTATTTCTGCAGTGATGAACAGAAAATGGGTAGATTGTCAGTCCTTGAGCTAGTGGTCCATTGCTTATCAGTAAATTATATTTGGAGAGGATGAGGGTCCCATGCTGATCTGAATATTTGATAAACTAGTGTGCTTTCATAAAACCTCTGAAATAGCATCATCTACCTATACTGACCTATTCCTACCTAATCTTAAGCAAAACCCCCAGCCAAGCAAACAAACAAACTGGAAAAAAAAACAAACAAACAAAACCCACAACCAAACATGCCATGAAGACTTAAAAGTATCAACTGAATAAACTGAAAATAACTGGTTTTGCCAGTGAAGCTGCAATTAAAAGCTTTTCATTATGCCCCTGTAATGTAGAAGTGCAGTGCATCTTTCAGTCACATATTGTTATCCATAATAATTTAGCTTCATGCCTGCTCTAAGAAATGGACTGCAGTGTGTTAGTGTTTAAAGACAAACTACTTAATAATTGTTTTAAGCCTTTAAATTTGGTTTGTTTATTGGTTTTATTGTGTTTTGTGAGGTTTTTTTTTTTGTTTTTAATTGTATCCTTTTCACTTCCTGTTTCTAGGCTCTGAGGAAATAATGGCTATGTCAATTTTAAGCAAATACCAATCATGCCTTAACAGCCTGAAACTAATACTGACAAGATAAAATCTTAATCGTAACACTGAGGCTGGAAGTCTTTTTGTGTAGGGAATGTATTAAAACTCTTGTAAATAGTTTAAAAGTAAGCAGCACTTTAAAATACTTACGGGATTTTCCACTCCTCAGAGCTTAGACTTAATTGTCTTTGATTTGGATTTGAGTTGTTTTGAATAATAAAGTATCACAATCTGAAGTGTGCCTGTGGGCTTGTCAATAGGCAGGTTGAGGTTCTGGAACAACATAGGAGTGAGGTGAACATAACGAATGGTAAAAGGTTGTATTTTACCTTTCTTCACACAAGGAAGGAACAGGGTTTTTTTTACAAAGAGATTTCAATGTAAAGTATCACCATAAAGCATGGGCGAATTCAGGACTGTTGTCTTTATTTTGGGTGACACTCATGTTGACAAATGAAAAGTTCACTGAGGTGTAAGGCATGTAAGACTATTTCAGCTTACTTTGTCAGAAGAAGTAAAAGTTTTCCAAGACTTAATCTCATGTGAAAGGAAGTAAAGAATATATTCAGCACATACGAAGCTCAGGTGCCTAGGTATAAATGAACCACACTGAGTCTCCTCTGTATTACTTTTCATGTAACTTTTTATCAGTAATACTGATAATACATATAAAGTGACTTTGCCGGAGGCAGTTGCTGAATTGCATTCAGGTACCTTATACCCTTACTTTTCGAAGGCCTTGGCTTTTCCTAGTGGAGTCTAACCTTTTGTTTTTTCCACCAGCATGGAGTCCAGTTTGAACTGGGCAAATTAAAAATACAAACTTTTATACATACCGAGAAGTTAAATTTCATTTAAGGAAGAAAATATCAAAAGCTGTGGCAGGTAAAGGTAGAAAAGTGTTTATAAAATTGTTACATTTTAAAAGACATTACTGATCTGGAATTGCAACTGGGAAGCTTGTGAAAGTCTTCATACATTCTGTTTTTAACATCTGGAAAATAAAGCTGAAAATACATGCCAGCACTTTATGACAAAGTTGTTGTTCTTAAGATTTTTATCATGGTATCTGATGTTTACATTTCTTACGACTTTTGGAGCTAACTTATCTGTAAATTAAAATAAATGAAAATTTGTCTTATCCAAGGAACTGAAGTTTTGAAGACTTTATTTGTACTTAAAATATACCTTGAATCAGATTTTCTTTGGATCAGTGCATTTATTTAAAAGTATTATGGTTCATGCAAACTTCAATTGCATGTAAATACATACATTGTAGACAATTGTTACCCCATCTTGCTTCCTTCCCTATTACTGGGAGTTACCAAGCGTAAATGAGTGATGAATAATATTTTTAAGATGACTGAAGTCATCTCTGTGCAGTTCATGACCTTTTTATATAATAAAAAAAATAAACTTTGTTTTTCAAAACTTCTGTGTTTTCGTTTCTTCACAGACTCAGAAAAGGAATTACACTCAAAAGAGGTGGTAACCTTTTGTGGCCTGGATAATGTGTTTCCTACAAAGGCATGTTTCATTGAAATGAAAGCTTTCTCATGGTTAGAAATGCAGAAATGGGCTTTATTTTTAATAAAAGCAATAGTGTATTCATGTGCTTGGTTTGAGGTTGCTTGGTTTGCTGCATTAAGTTCAAAAGTTGTCTGAATATTTATATTCCCTGTATTGCAGGTTCTTACCAGCATACCACCTGCTTTTTCTCTTTTGTTCTAAGGCATCTATGAAACTTCTCTGTTTAGTAGTGATTTGAGACAGCTTGATATTTCTGCCTTCTCAGAATCTCAAATCTTTGAAGGAAGGAGACATGTTAGAAAAAAATGCATCATCTAGGTAATAGCTGACCGTCTTACCAGCACAGTTGTGCTTGTACTCTTGCCAAGTAAGGTAAATTATTGCTGGAAAAAATATTGTAAAATTGGTGCAAAGCAGAAGTGTGCAATTACATATTTGTTTCAGAAAGCAATTATCCTGTGCCTTAAGAACCTGGCAGCTGACAGACTTGAAAATACTGTTTGGACCACTGAGCACTGGAGAAGTGAGATACAGAATGAGTCAGTGTGTAGGAAGTCTGCTAAATGAATGGTAGCATCATAAAGCTGAACTGCTGAGTCACCTAGTACTGTGTGAGAGTATAAGGAAATTTCTTAACTAAAAGCAGGCACATAATTCCTATGTGGTTAGCCCATGTAGTGACTGAGGAATACAACTTTGAGACACAAGTTGAAGGCATCTCAGAAATGAGATTCCATTGCATTCAAACATCTTGTTCCATTTTCATGCTAGTTAATGTTTTGCAGTCTGCCATGTGAAACCTCTGGGGAAGAAAAAAGCCCTTCCTGAAACTATTTTTAAGGAAATACCCAAATCTGAGAACTTTAATTTTTGTGCACACAGGAGTTATTACATTTGTTGTACTTTCAGACATTATTTATTTGCTCCAATCATAACATACAAAGCATGCCAGTACTTTGGTTCAAAATTAAACGATCACTTTTTTCACTTTAAAAAGAAAACATCTGGTCAGGAAAACACTTCACTGTATGTAGTATTTTGGCTTATGTTTTAAATACTTTTTTGAATACTTTTGCCTTTGCTTGAAGAGAAAAAGAAATGTATTCTTGAGTACACCAGAATTTAACTGAGGCATCAAGGTGGAATAAAAACCCGACATCACTGAATGTTTCAGAAAATGAAAACTTAGCGATAAAAATATCACCTATGGCTTCTTCTCCTTCCTGGGGTTAATTTTACTGTTACTGATCCTTTTATTCTTCATCCTTTCACCATTTTATTCTTGTGCTCATATTTTTATTGCTGAAGTTAGATTTAGATTGTTTTGTTAGGTATGACTGGGAGTTCAGATGAAAGTCACGTTAACCACAGGAAGTCAAAAAAATTAGCTTTAAACCATTTTCTGCTGTGTCCTCCTGTGGCCTTGGAAATGCTGATTAAAATCAGCTGGTATTGCATTTGTGTTAGTCAAATGGGTTTAACTGGTCACTGCAGGAAAAGAATGAAATGGGGGGAGGGGGAAGAATGAACAGCAACACAGATGTTTTTAGGTCTCTGTAAGAACATTGTTCTGATAATGAAAAACACTGTATATACAAATATGATTTTCTCTGTAACATTCCTACTGTTAGCAACCTAACTGTACCTTTCTTCTTCTAAAGTGTATAAGCATGTGAGCTATTTCCAGTTTCCTAATCAAATGATAAAAAACCAAAATGTCACTTTCTAGGAAAAGGAGTCACAACATCCAGCAGTGTGTGGTGATGTGCTCTAAACATGCTACTGCCTTCTGTAGATACAGTAGACAGTAGTTGAATGATTCAGTATTAAATAAAAATAACAAAGATTTGCCTTTGCATGTTTTCCAGCTAGACTGTTACGTATTATAGCCAGTACAGTATACAGCTTGTTTGAATCTCCCTAAGATATGTTGAATATGAGGACATTTCTCATTTCAAAATCGAAACCAGGCTTTGGTACTGTTTTAGAGAATGACTGGGAATTCCAAGTGATGTTGGATTTTCTACAGCTGGACACAGCAGAAATACCCTACTGTTCTTTGCCTGTGGTATTTTAACAAAGGGACTTTTATGATTAAAACTTGATACATGGACTCTTATAAACCTCTATGTACAGTTCACGAGGTTGGTTACAGGCCTCAATAATTTATAGGGATTTTCCAGTAAGCTAACTCCACTGTAAACTGTAATGCTACCTTTTTTGTATTGCTGTGAAAAATGTAACAAAACCTCTCATTTGAAATACACAAGGTACATAACATAGCAACAGCTCTTTCAGATCCTATTGAAATCCAGACCTGGGCACAGTGAAGTGTCAGAAGTCATACAGACCATACCAATTTATTTAGATAGGTCAAACCATCAAGTTCATAATGTGAGGAACACCCATTAACTACCAAGGAAACTGAAGAAGAGTTTATTTTCTTGTACTCTTTAATTTACTGATTGGGGGATGGGGAGGAGGGGAACAGGCTCTTTAAATCCTAAATTGATTTTGCACATGATGGCCTGATCCATGGTGCAACACTTGAAGAAGTATTTGTTTACTGTTGTGGTTTTGACACCCCAGTCCAGCCATTAGAGCTGATGAAGAGTTTGCAAGCACAGCTGAGTTCTTTTCCATGTTCAGTTGGAGCACGTCTCAGTGTCTTGCCTAAAAACAAGCACCTGTGTTCACTTACTGATACACATCTCTAAATTTAAAAGGTAAGAAGGAACACCTGCCTGAAGAGCAGTGCATGGCACCTCCTACTCTATCCAACTTTAACTATCTTTATTTTCCTGAACTTGGCAGGCCTTAGAAGAGCCTTTATTACAAGAGGGACACTGAGGTGGTGGAGCTGGTCCAGAGAAGGGCACTGAAGCTAGTGAAGGGTCTGGAGAACAAGCGTGATGAGGAATGGCTGAGGGAACTGCTGCTGTTTAGCATGGAGAAGAGAAGGCTCAGGGGAGACCTTACTGCTCTTTGCAACTACTTGAAATGAGGAGGAAGAGAGGAGGTGGCTGGTCTCCCAAGTAACGTGGTACAACAACAACAGCCTCAAGCTGCGTCAAGGTGAGG